TGCCAGTGAAGATGATTGAACCCGATTTTACTCAAATAGAGGTGTCTGTAAAGTGATAAAGAATCAACCCTGTGGTGCCAGAGTAGAATTAGAGAATCCCAGAGTGGTTTGGGTTGGAAGGGACCTTAAAGCTCATCCAGTTCCACCCCCTACCAAGAGCAGGGACACCTTCCACCAGACCAAGTTTTCTTCTTGAAACCCTAATTCTTAGACCAGAGTTTCTTCTGAAGGAGATAAGTCTGACAGCAGGTTGCTGATGGAAGAGGGAGCTCTCAGATCTGACAGAGTTGAGCTGATGAGGTGTTTGGTTTTTTTGTCTGTCCTTTCAGCCACCCAAAGCCAGAAGGTTTGGCAGCTGCTAAAAAGCTGTGTGAGAACCTCTTGCAAACGGTGAGTAGCTCTTACAAACACGAGCTTTCAGAGCCCTGGTGGAGCTTTGGGGGGTGATTTTTTAATGCTTTTTTTGATGTCTGTGTGTCTGACTTGCTCAGGGGTTTTCCCTTCCCAGTGCTGCTGTTTTAATTCTTGTACAGACAATGAACATTTCTCAGGATGGAGCTGTAGTAGTGGAAATTTTAGGGGGAAAAAAGCTTCCCATGTTATCCAGAGCTGCACTGTCTGCTTCAGGAAAGAGGAAATGATTGGTGTAACCAAAAAGAAAACCTGGAAAATCTCTCACCAAATGAATTTCTCTCTTCAGCTTTTCTCACGTGAATGCAAATGGAGTAAAACCCTGGGGGTTTCTGTTAATATTCTGTTAATATTGATAATTGAGTGTAGGCTACAAAGTTTCCTTTGACAAAAATACATGGAAGCTTTTGGGTTCTCTGAGTATCTTGTCTCTGCTGTAGCAATTAGTTTGCCCTTCTTTTTTTTCACTTCTCAACCTGGGAAAGGTTATCCCATATTTTACACGGATCTACCCCAGAGGGGCCAACAGGGGCTGTTCCCTGGGGTGTTGGTGGGTGGGTGTTCACGTTTGGTTATTGCTGTCCTCGTGCCTGGCGTGTTCTGGGATCAGCAGGACACACTCCCGGGTCTGGGGGGGTTAATTTGGGAAGCAGATGTTCATTGTGTGACCTCTGGGAATCCTTTGCAGGTTCACGCCGAGTACTCCCGCTTTGTGAACCAGATAACCACTGCAGTCCCCCTGGCAGGTAAATCCCAGCACCAGTTCAGCTTTCAGGGCCCAGCCCCTTTTCCATTTGCTGTTAAACTGGTGTTGCTGTGGGATTTGGGTGCTGAAAAAGTCTCCTGGAACAGTTAATTAGGGGTGAGATAAGAAAGGGTTTATTTTGCCAGGGCAGAAGATGTTACAAGACATGCACCCCTGTGCCCCAGATATTACATTTTATAATACCATCCATTCAATCCCAGGTGTGCCCACCCTGTGGCCTTTACTCTGGACTGCCCCGGGTTCCACCCCCTGAAAATGGGTCTGGGGTGCATTTCAGGACCCTCTCTTCATCACCTTCACCATCATCAGAGCACAAAGGGTACATAGTCACCCAGGTTTTGACCGTGTTCTGTGGTTTAGGCCCTGATATGCTGTTCTGCCAACAATCTAGGCCTTGCCTTGGCAAAAGACTAAACATTTCTACTGGATTCGGGAGTAGGGGTGATATGGGGAGCATAGAATGGGGTGAGAGGGTTAAGGACTGTGTAAACAAGGGTGCTACAGGGAAAGGGATGCAAGGGAGGGAGGGTTGCTGCTTTTAAAATCTACCTATAAAACTTACAAGGCTTACAAATATTAGAAAAATAAAAAAACCATTAGGGGCTCAAGGCATCACTGGTTAATTGATTTAATGACCCTCTTTCCCCCCCCTCTTTCTCTCCTCCCAGGCTTCACCCAACCCGCCACCATCAACAGCGTCCCGTCCCAGCCGTCCTACTACCCCTCCAACGGGTACCAGTCGGGGTACCCCGTCGTGCCCCCCCCTCAGCAGCCCGTCCAGCCTCCCTACGGGGTGCCAGGCCTCGTGCCCCCCCCGGCCGTGCCCCTGGCCCCCGGCGTGCTGCCGGCGCTGCCCGCGGCCGTGCCGCCCGTGCCCACGCAGTACCCCATCCCCCAGGTCCAGCCTCCCGCCAGCACCGCGCAGGTACCACCCCCGGGCACCCCCTCAGCTCTGTGTGCTGCCAGGGAGCAGCTCCAGAGGGAGAGCTCTGCTTTGGGACTGCCCCCGGGCACCCCCTCAGCTCCCTGTGCTCACAGGGAGAGCTCTGCTTTGGGACTGCCCCCGGGCACCCCCTCAGCTCTGTGTGCTGCCAGGGAGCAGCTCCACGGGGACAGCTCTGCTTTGGGACTCTGGGGTTTGGGGTCGCTCTGCTGGGGCTGCCTGCGGACAGCCCAGGGGTTGGGGGGGTGCTCCACACCGCGGGTTTTGATGTCAGGGACGTTCTCAGGGCAGGGGGTGGCTCATTCTTGGGAGGTGTCAGCCCAGGCTGGGAGGCCCCTGATGGATTCTG